GTTTACTGCCAACCCTTGCCTGAGAATAAAAAAACAAACTAACAGATCACCTTGTCACATTGACTTGAAGAAACAGAGCTATTGCATTCTAATTTTCAAAGGAAACCACCTTGTGAGTGAATTTAAAAAACTCATAAGTACAATAGAAACTGAGAAATAACTTACCGAGAACTAATGTTTCTCAAAAAACAAGTAGAAAAAAGACAGTAAAAATTTGGTTCAATTATATAATATTAATATATAATTGAAGACAGTCACGAAAACACCAACTTCATCATCAACAAAACCATGCTATGTGAGTGTTATTCCTCATGATCCATATAATTTTGGATATTGTGTTTAGTGGCTTAAAATTTAAATATAAAAATATATGTAAAGTGGCCAGCTGCTTCTCTGTAAAGTTTTAAGAAATTAAATGAAACTGTTAAGTAAATATCAAACATGAAAATTGTCTAAGAAGATGATTCTCAGTCCTGTAATAGAAGTCCCTTATAGCCTTGGTTTTATGCTTCTAAATACTGTTAGTATTTATTGAGCTGAGCAATGCAAATGTTCAGTAGTACATCATTACTTATTTTCAAAGATTATGCCCTATCTTCTTAGGGTTCTCCATATCAAATTAATTCTCTAAGTCACTCAATAACATTATAATTCTGCAAAAGAGAGATTAAAGAACATAGGTTTTTTTCAATAAGAAAACTTCATAACAAAATTCATATAACTGTCAGAAAAGCTTCATTAATTACATATTAAATTTCCATCTAATCATTATGTTTTAAGCATGTTTTAGAAGTAAAAATAAAAAATACAGCAAAGTGCTTTTGATGTCTCATAAGTTACAAAGTACATGTGCCTTTTTCAGTAAATATTTCAAGACCAGAGAGAGTCACTGATGTGGAAGACAATTTTATGGAAAATGGGAGGAACTCTAAGAAAACAAAAATTAAAATAAAACTTTAGCTTTAACGTAAATAAAATTTTGCTTGATTGTTTTGAAGAGAATAGTTTTATTTATTGCTGTTTTGAAACTCATTATTTCATTAGTTAATAAAATGAACAAATAACCCTAAAGTCTATCCTGTCCTCAGATACACTAAAGTCTATCCTGTCCTCAGATACACTAATCCCCTATTAGTGTCCCTCAACCCATCCTAACTCCACTACATCCTTTACCTTTCTTATCCCCAGCCCAATTCTCCAGATCCTCCATACCTCATCCACACTGTAGCTCTTTCCTCACCCCTACACTATTTTGGGTATCTTCTCTGCTTTCCTCCTCTCCCCATCTAATTCCCACAATGACACTGTCTCCATGTTCACTACACCCTATTTATCATATTTTCCCCCAGCCTATTTCCAAGCTTTATTCCAACTCCTACCATACCCTTACTCTCTCCTGTCTCAAGTCTCCCCCACCTTTGACCTTTAAAATCCACCCCAGCACTAATCATCAATTCTCCCCACTTTTTAAACTTCAGGAACCAGGTTAGAATGAATATTAAGGTAAAGACCATGAATGAAGTAAAGATGTCTATTTGAAACCTTTGTTGATTTATAAAAAATAAAATTCCAAATGTTATATGTTTTCCATACTATATCAAGGTATCAAAATTGTAACATCCATAGTATAAAAATATCTGGATAGGAATGATGATGTGAAAATGTAGGGGCCAGAATACCATGTACTCCCCTGACAAAAATTCCTTGCTATTTAAAATAAGCTGGCTTATGCTAGCCTTTCAAAGATTATGAAAGCATATACAGCATAGGATTTAAAGAAATTTTTTAGTTTTAAATTTTAAGTTTTGCATGTCTTTCAAAGCACCAATTTTCCTTTTTGTTATATATTATAAAAATCATTCTTTCGGCTCTTTGAGAAAAATAAATGGACATACAATACCAACTTCTTCATCTAAATTGTAAGATATGTTGATGAGAAACAATAAAACACGCACTTTGTGAATTTACCTAGAGCATATTTTTGCTATTAAAATAATATTTTAAGAGTTTATTTTTTAAAATGACTCACCTTTAGTAGACTTCATTATCTTAAGCAACTAATATTCACCTACAAACCAACTTCTTTATTCTTATATTAGAGTAAGATAAAAAGAAAATCTTCAAAATAAAATTCACCATAAAATGCAGTGACATTTGTTAATTCTAAATTATGATAAAACGATCAACAGTAAATATTACCAAGATACTCAAAGTTTTTGAAGATCACCATGATTATATTAACTAATTTTCATAATTTCTTCATAAATATACTTATTCAAAAATAAACACATATATTTGAGTGGTTTAAAGTTATAAAACAATAGTTTCCAAAGTTCCTTTCTTAAACCCTAACATTTCAGTGCAACATAGTGTGCAGTGCATAGTGGGATTCAAAACCAAGAAAAAGTTCCTAAAGAAGTAGTAACAATTTGGAAACACCCACTATTGTCAAAATTCAGTAAAAAAAAAATCAAACCACCTCTACACATTCTATCTCCCCAGACTTTACACTCATCAGACACCCCAACCAAGTGTTTCAGTTTGTTCTTACTACATTCATTATGTTTCAAGTTAGTAACTCCGTATTTCTCATTTTGTACACTTATCACCAGTGACTAGAGAACAAATCTGTCTAAAATCAGCAAAAGCTGGTATGATGCTTACAGCTTTAATACTTATTCTGAATATAAATTTCCACCTTTTGAAAGTAAAGGAAACAACTTGATTTTATTTTCAGAGAAAAGCAGGACAGTTCAGTGCACTAGTATGGTGAAACATTGTCCATTTTCATTGATGCTATATTTGATTTTGTGAATTGTGTAGTGCCATTATTTGCTGGCCATTATTGACTTTTCTTGTTTAGTAAATATTTATTGTGATATGTTTAAACAAAGTACCATTCAAGGTGGTATCGTAATATATATGTGATGTGTGTGAATTGGCCTGTACTGTGTCTTTAAATAAACTGTGGTGTAGATTGATGTGATGTTTTTATTATTCAGGAGTTGAATTATTGCAGCACTAGAGTATAGAACTCCTGGTGCTCATTCTGTAAAATTATGCTAATCCTGTAAAATTCACAACAGGTATTTTAATATCTTACTAATTTAAAATTCAAATAAAGAATATTACAGAGGGGTTTATCAATTTAATAAATTGCTAAATTAATCTTATTTCAGTAGCAGAATTCACCAAACATTTATTAGGACTACGTTCAAAGCTAAAAACAAAGTTAATATTGCACCTGTTGAAGTAGCTGCTTCTTCTATTACGTAGTCTTCTATCCAAATATAGTGACATGATTTGGGCACTTTTGTTTTGAGATTTTCTTCTGTGTGTATGTGAGACACAGAGACTATCTGGAAAGAAATCTATACAACAACAGCAACAGTTTTATTTAATCATTGAAAATTTTTGCTACCACAACATATTTTTTCTTAACTACACCATAGAGATGATTTTATATTTTATTTCAACTCCAGTATTATCTAATCTGTACCTATCATATAAACCAAACATTAGCCCTGGTAGGTTGGTAAACATGAATATGGAGATTTCAAACATTGACTTTAATGTCTGAATCAGTTGTGAATAAAAACAAAGCAGTTCATCAACTTTACACATTAAAAACCTTGACTTGTTCTAAATATTTTGCCTGTTTCATTTATGAACAAAATCTCATGAAAATTCATTTTTTCTTCATGCAGATATAGACTCATGTAATATGGGTTGCACAAACCTTATTAACTAGACCACGAGAAGTATTTGGTGTTACAGAAATAAATATACCAATCCACCCTGTCTTACATCTTGAAAACTAAATTTCAACTCTTGGATAATGGTGTTTTGCCTACGTATTTTCAATTTTGTATTTGTATCTTGTTGAGACTTCTACTCTAAATTATGTAATCTATAAGTGTCAGCTGTTTCTCTTTCTTCTCAAGTACATTGTGATACTAATTGTGATTGATGTCATTTTCTTACACTATATTTCTGCCAATTACCTTGTTAATATTTTGTGTCTGGTAAAATTTATTGATGGTTAATGCCATTGTGCTGTACTCACTATTTTCCAATACATAACAATGTGTAAGGTGTATTGCAAAAATGTTTAAATTTGCTTTTTTCTAGTACGTGAATCTGCTGGAAAAAAATAAATATTTGACACAATAGTGAAAGTAATATATTTCTTCCTGAATTGAAATTGTCTTTTCCTTTAAATACTTCATATGTAAATTTGTATTTCAATAAATGGTGTCATCTGCATTCAAATATTATATTGTCTGTTTTTATTTCTTTTAAAAACACTTCCTATCAAAACATGCCTAAAACAGGCCTTTTAATAAGAAATGGGAAAAACAGCTGGGCATCATGGTAAACAACTTTAATTCCTGCACTTTGGAGGGAAAGACATGCAGATCTCTGAATTTGAAGCCAGCCTAGGCTACACAGTGAGTTCTTAGCCAGCCAGGACGACATAGTAAGACTCTGTCTCAAAATACTGCTGTTAGAAACAAATGGAAAAATGAATAAAGACAAGAAAATACAAATAAAGTTATTTGAAAGCTTGAGAACTTACTACATACCAAACATTGACAAACAAGATTTATGGAATACTTTAAATCTTGAGTAACCTATTCTTCAACCTATTCATATATAAATTTCACAATTTATGAGAAACACAATTTCTATCATACCCAGGATTTCAGCTATTACTTTTCTATAGTTCTTTCTTCTCTGCTCACCAACTTCAAAATAATTCTATTGACATCCTTGTTTTGGGATACTTCAAGCACATCAGAGGTGCCACTGTGGTTAATAATAACTCTAAAATCACATTGGTTATTTCTACTTCATAGATGTTTAGAAAATATTTGTATACTAATTTATATATAGGTATCAAACACTTTTATTTCAACTAAATTATGATGTTGAAATGATGATGACAAATAAGGTGGCAAAACTC